TGCTAATCTTACGCCTATCGACTTCCCATTCGATTGGTAAAAGGTTCTGCACTGCGTGAGCAACACAGCCACTCAGCTCCCTTACGAATGGTCACCAAAGCATCAAGTGCCCATTAAGAGCTTAAAACCAAACAACTGAACCATTAGACGCGACCTCCATAATCAACGGCTTTTTGACGCGTCCGCCGCGTGGCAATCGAGTAATCCATTTGTTTTTCTTCTTGTTGCTTGTTTGCTGGCTGTCAACGTGCACAGCATTAGGCCACGCCCACTTATTATATTGCAACAATTTGTTGGCAGCGGCGTAAAATTGAAGTGGATTGAATGGTTGACTGGGTTGCCCAAGCGGCGCGTTGTTCGCGTGTGCACGCGCCCACAAGCGTGTGATAATTACTCGAATGTTGCAGTTCCGCATGCGTGGCACGTGGCACCAAACAGCAAACAGGACTCGGGCCAGGCGCTACAAGTATCCATATCCGTTTCAGGTTTCGCTCGCATAATTGCGGCAGGCGTTTAGCCAAGATATCAGTACTAATATTTTGTGCAAATACAAACAAAGCCCTCAGGTTCCTGCAGAGCCGTGCTCCGTGCCGGGGTAAATATGTTTTTTCCAGCTGAAGTGGCACTCGAGTGAAGGACTCTCGTCCCTCCGCTCTCACTCGTTTTCAGGTGAATGCGCGAGCCTTTTTGTTGTTAATTGCATTAATGTGCGTTATTTATAATCAAGTGCGCGAGCCTCAAGAACTGTGCGAACTTTTTGCCCTACTTTGGACTGTTTATGCGCCAAGCAAACAGCCAAAGAGCCAAACATGCGGCCAGGCAATAATGCTAAAAGTGCCAAACAGAGGCTCGTAAATTGCGACCCGCACTCAGACAATTTGGCTCGACGCCATTTTGAGCAGCCTTACCAAGGCGTCGGAGCCAAATACGAATATCCAATCCAATTCCCTGCTGCCAGCTGGCTAAAGACCCCGCCTAATAGCAGTTACTGACAACGCCGCATTGGCCCCCGGGGACCAGACAATTTCAATAAATATTTCACTGCATTAGCTCTCGACGCTGGCGTGTCAATGGGCAAGGGCGGTGCGGGGCAAGGCAGCGGGAGAAACGGAAACTGGAGTGGTATGGCCTGAACAAATCCAAACGCAAATTGCCTTTTTGCTCCTGGCCAGCAATAACATGCATTAAATGTTTGGCCATTATCATTTTAGGCATTTGCGAACACATTTTCCATTAGCCGTTTGCCGATGTTGCCTGCCGTTGGCTCCGCGTCAAGGCTGTGCCCGCCCACTGCACCCGTAGCGTCTATTGAGCTACAAATCGACAGCAATTTCAATGACAATGCAACTGCAGCCAAACAATTGCCACACGGAGAGAACAAACTCTTTGCTTAGAGACCTAAGAAAGCCATAATAGTTGCTCCCTTAGACAGAAAGGGCCAAAACAACAAAGAACCACCTTGATTGCCTTGTTAGTTGCTGCAGTTGCTACTGCCCTCTATGTGGTTGCCATTCCTAACTAACACTAACCGCAGACCAGGCGGGGCTAAAGCTGCCAAGCGCCTTTCTTCATTTTCTGACAATAAATTTTCATTTTCTTGGTAAATGGTCCGTTGTTGTTGCTCCTGCTGTTGTTGCTCCTGCTGCACTTACTCCTTGATGGCTACGCTGTGTTGGTGTTGTCGATTGCCTTTTTGCACATATGCCCGCATTTTTGCACCACAACAATTTGGCAGGCACCGCTCATTGTCTTTGCCACAGCCACAGCCACAGTCGCAGCCGCATTGCAGTTGCAATTGCTCACAAGTTATCCCAAGTGGAAATTTTTGCTGTTGTTCTTCGGTGTGCGGTTGTTTTCGTTGTTGTTGTTGTTGTTGTTGTTGCTGCCGTTGCTGTTGCTGTTGACTGAGTCAGGTCTGGCAAATCGCAATAAAACAAAAGTGATTGTCAAGTGAATACGCTTATTCCCGCAACCATATACATATCCTGCTAACAACAAGGATACGCCGTCATAATATGCAATTCATCATGTGCGCTCTTCTGCGTAATTCGGAGTGATTAAAATGGCTATTCATATGCACATGATTGATGGATAGATTCGAATATAATCGTTGATATTCAGAGTGATTTCTTTAAAATGGGAAAGCGAGTTGAAATTGAATCAGTATGTATATAACAACGTGCCAATGTCTGAATTGCTATTAAATTTATTCTTATAAGTATAACTAGCTGGTATTTTCCTGGCAGGTCCAAGTTGCAACAGTTCTCCACCAATTTCGCACATTTGCGGGTGGAAATCCTTGAACCTTAAAAATAAACTTAAAATCAGATGAAACTTCACCCAGGTGGGGTGGATTTTGAAGAAATTGTTGGGTCTTAAAATAAATTGTTACGATCCTTCCCCGTCAATATAAAATATATATATATAATATAATATATTTAATAATTCAAGACTTCATTAAGCCGACTTCAGCTCCGGGTAAACCATTTTCAAGAACTTTGTGTACGCTCCACCTATTTAATATAGACCGGAACAACCTTTGTCACGCTTATTAAATGCCTAATAAACATAATTTCAGTTAGGCGATTCCCTTCAATATACGCATAAGTCATAGATATTAAAAAAAAACACGCAAATTTGGCCACTTTGAAAATACAAACAACTTGGCCAACAGTCGGGGCAGGCTTATGGCGGGGCATGTTGTTAAATGTGGTAACACGCACGCACGCAGGCAGTTAATTAAGGGTGTGAACTGGTTGAGTTATGCATAGAGGAGTCAGAGCCAACATATCAACCCCACAAAGCAAGCATCATCAGGACACGAAGGACATGCCGCTCTGCAAAATGGGCAGTAAATAATTCATTAGCGGCTTTTAACAATAAATTTTTGTGGGACAGCCACTGGCTATCTGACTAACTGGCTGACCGACCGGCAGAGTGAGCAACTGAGAGAATGAGTTCTTTTTGAGGGCACTCATTTTAATGAAGTGGCGCATTCGCTGGCGGCGGCAGCTAATTAGTCGGCGGTTTGAACTTTGAACTGCACTTCATTAGAGCTGGAATTTGCCGTGTTGTTTAAACTGCTGCCACGATAAGGATAAGAGTTCACATCCAGTAAGCCAACGAGCCACCAAGCCATCGAACCAATGCAACCACCTGCACGTGTTCTGGCACATTGCACAGCGGCTGCCAAATTAAAATGCAATAATTCTTCATTTGCGCACAAGAGAATGCGCAAAAAAAACAAAAATAAGAAAAAATATATGTCGGCACAAACGTGAAAAGGCCAAAAGCCAAAGGCAGGAAATGTGCTATAATTGAAAAATGTGGTAACAAGACTCTACGTGGCGGGCCTAATGAATTCTTCGCTTTTTGCATGGCTCCGTCATGACACGCAAGCCTAAAGAAGTTGTTGATGTTTGCCACTCGGAGAGGGTGATAAATGCTCATCAGGCTTAAAGGCTGCGCTGGCAATTAACTTTTACAATGTTGTTGAAACGTAATCAAGTTGTCAGCAGCGTCAGTCATGGCAAAGATCTGCCTCGTCGTCGCGAATGATACTCCTAATTACGCAAAGTTTCAGGCTATATTCCCAGGCCAGCGCCTAAATGTCGACAAATGGCTGCTTAAGAATCTGCACCCCACATTTTCGTAGTGGGGGCTGCTTGGGCTGCTAATCCTGCGGGATCCATTTGCCTAATGCCCTGCAACAATTTCGCAGTCCGCACTTGCGCGTATATTTCAAATGTCTTTCAGTTGTCATAACAAACTTTGGGGAGCAGCCAAGTTGTTTTTTGCTGGGGCGCCCCATTAGCTGTCTTAAGTCTTGAGTTACGGGCAACGGGCGCCAGGAATTGACAATAAGCGGCATAAATTTTAAAATTTCATTTTTATCGCATTACAATTTTCTCAACAGTTTTTTATGCCTCATCATATTCTTCTTGGTTTTTTTTTTAAGCCACGTTTAAGTAAGATGCTTGCCTGGCATTATTGACTTTTGAGTTGATAAAGTGCCATAAATGTCACCCCATTAAAACAGACAACAACAACCACAACAACTGCGACAGAAGGAGAAACAACAACGGTAGCAAAAGGCAACAACGTCGCAAAGGTAAAGGTAAAAGCGCGTTGAGTTACCGGCTCCTGGGGGTTGGTTGCCAGGATAATGCGCCTCAACTCAATTGGGAATTTTAAAAGTAAAGTTGAATTTCATGTTTGGCTGCGGCAATTGTCACAGATGGTTTAATTGAAGTAATTACATACGAAATCCGTCAGGATTTGCCAGCGCCGGCACCGCCGCCCTTCAAATGATGACACTTTTTGCTTATTATTTTATTATTACTTACTAAGCCAACAGCAGCAGCCGGGGGGTTTCCCTCGGAAAGGGTTAATGGCGTTGTTTGACTTTTGTTTTTGCGCCATTGCAGTCCTCACCACTTGCCGCTCTTCTAATGTTAATGAGCTAATGACTGCTGCGTGTAATTGCGAACCGCTGAAAAGGTGTCATAATTATTTATGGGCGTATCTTACATTTTATTATTATTATTTAAATACATTTTTGCTTATTTTTGTCTCATATTTTATGTTACAAACCGAGCTAAGCCGGTTTAACAGCTTTGAATGAGTTGTCTGAGTGGAAGCTGCTTAAAGGATGTTTATCTCCTAGCAAACATCAACTCTCACGCCAAGTACAATTTCTCATATATTTATATATACTTGGCTGAGTCAATGCAGTATCACAAATGGCAGCTTATAAATATAGATTTTTGGTTTTTATTTAGTTAGCGAACAACTGTATAAATAATACATAGACTATTATTATTCCTCCTCAAGTAAATGCTATAAAAAGCCCTTGATCAGAGGTAGAAAACTGAATTGTCTCACCTAGCTTGTGGTTAAGTGTCCTCTTCTCCGGATTATTGAAATGTTCCGTGTACTCTTTTTGTTTGCTGCTGTCTTCTATGTGGTCGAGGCTACTGCAATATTACCCAACCCTACAGTTACTTCTAAATGTAACATCTATAAGAAAGACTTGTGTTGGGCACTTGTGGATTGCATCTGTCGTCCATTCCAAAATCCTTGTCTAAGGGATGCCGAAAACGCGCTTAGGATAAAGAATTGTAAAACACGTAAGTTTTTCGGAGTTGTTCAAACTGTCTCAATAGAATTGATCAAAATTGCTCTTGCAGCAATTGTGCCCGTAACGGAGGAACTATGCAAGCATTTCATTCCGAAGGTATGTCTCTGGGGAAGACCCGTGAAAGCCTACTTCCCTAAGCCTCCAAAATGCGGCTGCCCGGACAAGCCCGGTACTATAGACGAACTAAAGTTCAAGAATTTCTGCGAACTACAGAAATATTCTGCCGAAAAGAATGAAGGTAAGTTTAAGTAGAATCAAAAAACTAACACAACACAACTAACACCTGAAATACTTTCGTTTCTTTTCAGCTTATGTGTCCTACAAAAAATGCTCTTTGTTCAAATGAATTGCCTTGCGCTAAAAATCTCTGTTGACGATCACGACAAAACACTTTCCATATGTTGTTTTTTATTGTTTTTATTAAATATGTAAACTCATTTATTTCAAACCTGTATTTATTTATTGGGATTTTGAAATAATGCTGCTGATTGGATATCGAAAATATCCAAAAGAGGGCTTGCTATATAGCTATAATAAAATTAAAATACGAATAAAAATATAAATATAATAAAAATATTTAATAATATAATAAATAAGCAAACGGAATACTTTTATATCTGATAAAAATATTCCCTTAGTTTTTAAAAACAACTCCAAAATTATGCAAGAATGTTCAAAAAGATTGCAGATTTTATATCTCTTCTTAAAGAAATGGAAAAATATGCAACGCTTTTATAACAGGTCAAATAGCCAAAAGTTCTATAGGAATATTGGATATCTATGCATTTCTTTTATTCTGAAATAACTAGTAGCTCAAATCGCTGCTTACATAAATATTTAATAGCATATTTATGGACTTACTTTTTGTCTTAAGAAAATAATATTCAAATCTAAGATTTATTTATTTATAAATTAATATGTTATTTTGTTCATGTTTAATTAAGAGCGCTGACTTTCAGCAAGTCTTTTACCCCAAAAACATCTGAATGTTGAGGTCTATAAATATTTTGCAAGCATCTGACACTTTACAATATTTGTTCAAGCTTTCATATTCGTTATGAAAGTCAGCGCCGTTTAAATATTTATGGTTGATAAATATTTTTAATACTCATAAAAATAGTAAATAACACTGCGCAGTTCAGAGGTCAATTCTATCCGAATAATTAACAGGCAAGTGCTTTTCATTATTACAACTTTACTTAGAGTACGGAGACTATTAATTAATTTTAGATAAAACCACAAATATATACATACATATGTATGAATGTTAGTATATATACACATCAAAAAAATCAATTCGCTAGATTCGCCTTGAGCCGGCAGATATAATTTAGAGGGTTCTTACCATATTCGTCTAGCTTTCTCTTCTTAATATAGCTATATGCTTACCTTTAGTATACTGAACTTTGAAAACAAGAGTTTTGCATGTTTAAGAAAAATAATAATTACAAAAATATCCATCAATACATCTGCTTAAACAATTACATTTCGCGATCTTGTCCTATATAAAGCCGTCGAACTGCTTCAGAGTTAAGCAGTGCCAATAAATTCGTATCAAAAGCATACTCTCCAGTTCGTTATGTTCAACATAAAGCTGTTGATCCTGTTTGCTGTCGTCCTCTGCGCGGTCCAGGAATGCATTGTTGCCGAACCAGCAGTGGAACCAGCCTGCGACTCAGCTGCCATTAGACCTGGGGCCGACCGCTGTAATTGCTGCAAATGCAATTGTGTGGGTCGCTGTGCTTGCGGTCGCTCCAGTTGAGTTGTGAAATATTTGAAATAATGGTAGGTAGTTTAAAAATCAACTGGAATATAATACTAAGGCCCTTTAACTCTTACAGCGCATAGAAGTTGTGGAGCCAAAAAGAAAAAGTTTTTATTCGCAATTTGTTTTCTTGTTGTCATTAAAATTGTTGTAACCTTTGAATCGAAGTGTTTTCTTCGTCACAACCCCCATGTCCACATTGGATTCCTTGCCACATTGTTCTTAATGCAACACTTTGTGCGCTCAATTGTAAAGCTTTCGATGCTACAATGCACAGACAATCATTTTCATTGCATTGATCACTTGTTTATTCATATCCATTCATTCGTTGGCAAAGTAATTTCTTTGCTCTTTATGCTCTACGCTTTCTTGACTTCACAGCGACAATCAAAAACAAAAGCAAAAGTAATCATGTCCTGTAGCTTCTTTCGCGTTGGCGCAGCCGCTGGCTTTTCCTTTGTATACCCTGTGCCACAATTGGTTCATGGGTATATCAATCAACAATCTTTCGTATGTTCCTATATTTTGGCACAAATATTAAATATGTTTCCCTTTTTGAAAATCGCATAGAGAGATCATATTTTAGACAAAGAGAAAGATAGAATATGCAAGATAGAATACAAAGAGAGGGAGAGAGAGCAGCAGCACATGCTTGAGAGAAATAGACAGAAGGAATTAGATATGAAAAGATATGAAAGAGGAAGCTAGAAATTGGGAGTAAAATCCACTTTTTAATTAAATATTTATTTTATATATCGAAAAATATCTTTTAATTCATCCTTGAACATGTTGAGACTGTTTTGACTGATTACGGGGATATTCTTACGTTCGCCACAGGACATGTGGCGTATCCACCTAATAACCTTAAAAGCCTTATCGAGTCATTTAGTATAAAAACAAGCAATTAAAATGATGAATATGCAATAAATGTGTATACACACATAAAAAAGGACAATTCGCTGCCCTCTCTACCCATCCATACATTTTATATGCTAATGAGGAGAACATTTTTTATCTAAAAAGCAAAAAAATGCGGACACACATTTGCCTAATGAAAATAGCGCCATTAAAATGAGAAAAACAACTTTAGATACCGAAATTCGAAACACGCCGAGTTTTGGCAATTAAAATGCTACGAGCATAAGGTCCTGTCAACTTTCTACCCGTGCCGTTGCGTCCCGCTGGCTCTGAATGTGCATATGTGTGTGTGTGTATCTGGCAACGATCGTCTAGCAAATTAGAGATTAACACGCATGTGTCATCCCTTTTGGGCCTTTTAGTTCATTGACCGCTGTTCGGCAATAAAACTACTTAAATGTCCGAAATTTTAACTGAGTGCCAAACTCGCGGCCAGTTTTATAACTTTACGAATTAGAACAATTTGATGAAACTATAAAAATGTCAAGCCGCACAAATGTGCCGAAATGCTTAGAAAACTTGATGGCGCGTGCTCAAAAGGAAAGGTAGATAGACCGAGGGGTTACCCCTGGCTCACCACTCGCCTCTCTTTTCCGACTGTGTGTTCAATGCACTATGACGAGCGCGGACTATGCACGTTAGAAGTGCAGCCAGTCAGAGTGAAGAATCGTGCTAAAGAATTAACTATACTCTGAGCACTGGGCATATTAAGGGAGATGAGGAAGAAGCGAGGGACGCCTTAAGTTGGGAGTGTCCCTGTCATATTTCTGTTGCATCTCACAATGCCAACATATTAATTAAATTGCCCACGAGCCTATGCGCCTGTCAGCTTGTCTCCCATCTCGCTGTCAGCTGGGGGTCAAATACGGTCAGCAACTTAATTATATGTCAGGCGACGGGCTTCAATTATGCTCTATAATTATATGTGTATTTTTGTTTTGCATTTAAAATTTTTTTATTTGTTTCTCGTATTGCTTACATTTAATTTTATAATTGCAATTACGTGCGCAGTCAGTGGCTATATGCATCAGTGTAGGCCCCTTGTTTGTCTAGCTGATAGGTTAATTGGCCTTAAATTTGTGGCAAATTGGCTGATATTGCACTTAACGGTACATACTATATTATTATGATATATAAATATGTGAATATATGCATATTTATTTATTCTGCTACAATTAGGTTAAATTTGCGAAATTAAACTATAAGCCTTTTTTATCCGGAAGTTACAAATTGGATAAAAGGCGTTTTTTTTAGTTGCTCGGCACTTAGCATTATTGACCCTCTACCTTTAATATTGAGTTCTTTTTTTATACCCTGAACCCATTAAAAATGGGTACAAGGGTATATTGTATTTGTGCAAAATCCAAATGTATGTAACAGGCAGAAGGAAGCATCTCCGACCCCATAAAGTGTATATATTCTTGATCAGCATCAATAGCCGAGTCGATCTAGCCATGTCCGTCTGTCTGTCCGTCCGTCCGTCCATCCGTCCGTCCGTCCGTCCGTCCGTATGTATGAACGCAAGGATCTCAGAACCTATAAGAGCTAGAGACTTGAAATTTTAGATGTAGATGCTCCTAGCTCCCGCGCAGATCGAGTTTGTTTCCGATAACCGATAACTTACTCCGTTTCCAAGCAATCGATATAAATCGATATCGATATCCTGTTTTTTGGGCAATTTTGGTAAATAATAAGAGCTAGAGTCACCAAACTTGACATATAGCTTCTAAAATAGAATATATATATGCATTTGATGTTGGAAGAAGAGGGTTCAGGGTATCCTCTAGTCGGGAGCTCCCGACTAGAACCTCTTACTTGTTTTCAATTTTTTCGAATGGGTCAAAGTATGCGAAATGTTACAAATCTGTGTATACTATAATAGATCTACCCAACCCTACTAATTTTGTTTACGGAAATGAGACGAAGCATCGAATATGTATATACTATTTTAAAGTTCAAGTTTCCATCTTTTGAAGTTTCTGATTCAACTCATTCTGAGAAAATTCAAAGTTGGTTATGTTGATTACATAAATAATTAACTGCAATAGAGGATAGTTTATTCCGTGTATATAACCTTTGTAACTAAATATTAATACTTATCAATTGTGAAAATCACAGCGAATTAGCATTGTCCTTTGTCTTCTGTCGGAGCCAAACAAAAAAAAAATTGTTGACTGGCGTTGAGTAGAATAAAATTGATTGATGACCCAGCACATATAAAGTATTTGCGAGTTTATATTTAACACTTTGATAGATTGCTGTGAGTCGGATTGAGGGTGAAGCGGACGGGCGGGTTGGTGTGTAATATCTAAACAGCAGGCAAAGTGTCAAAGTAATAAAGCCAACGTTCACGTCAACAAAGCCAAAAACATCATCATCCTCAACATCATGCTTATCCTCATTGCCATCACCAAGACAGTTTATGCAGCCACGAGTCAAATATTTTGACAAGGGGGTGTGGCAAGGCAGCGGGCGACTGTGGTTGCGGCCTATGCCCAAAATGAGATACAAATGTTGCTCGCCATGTAAATGCTTGAAAATTGCTATGTCTGTGGCTTATTGACATTAATGTAACAATTGTCACCGGATTTATTAGGGGCCGATCCATTCGAAAGGGGTGCCGCATAACAAGCTGGAATTTCACTCTCAAGTAGTATACAATG